GGGGTGGGGAGGGGGAGGGGGCAGGCGGAGGGGGATCGGAATGGGCTGGAGAGGAGAATGGGCCAGTGGGCGAGGAGGGGGGATAGGGGGGAGCGGACAGGGGGAGCGGAAGGGGGGGGGCAGGGGGGAAGCGAGGGGGGATGAGGGGGGAGCTGGGAAGGGGTCGGGCAGAGGGGGAGGGGGGCGGTTGGGGAGAAGGCGAGGGCGGGAGACCAGGTCTGGAAGGGGGTTGTGGGAAGGGCTCCTCCTCATTTTTTTCCTTGCCTCTTCCCCCCCCCATGCTCCTCTCCCCTCTCCTCATCTCCTCTCTCCTTCCTCTTTTCTCCTCTCCTCTTCTCCTCCTCGTCGTCGTCCTCCTCCTCCTCCTCCTCCTCCTCCTCCTCAACCTCCTCTCCCTCCTTCCTTCCGCAGCGCCACGCGGCGATCCCAAGCCGCAACGCCCCGCCGCGCTTGCCCGGTGGCCGGAGCTAGCGCTGGCACCGTCGCGGAGCAACGCGCGCCGACGTTGGTTGGTTTCCAGAGGAGGCAGCGGACTTGCTGTATGCCTCGGGCTTGCATGTTAGATGTAGGTTCCCCTTCCTCTCCCTCGTCCGCCTCATTTTCCGTCGTTTCCCGCTTTGTCCGTTTCCCGTCTTTATTTTTTTATTTTTGTTCCTTCTTTCTTTTTTTCTTCTCTCTCGCTCTCTCTCTCTCTTAGGACCGAGGGGCACGAGTTGGCCGTTGGCGAGAGGCTCCGACTTCTGATAGTTCTGTACGTAGCTCGCGCCAATTTGCAGTTTTCAGGGGCTGTCCGTTGTCCAGGGCTTCTGAGGCTTCCGTGCAAGGATCACGTCAATTAGCACCACTCTCAGTGGCTGCTTGTTTTACATGTTGTCTGAGACTTCTGTGCATAACTTATGACAGTTTGTATCGCTCTCAGCTGCTGTCCACATCATCTGGTTGCCACTTAAGCCACCGCTTTGAGGCTGCTGCGTGGGTCCTATCCCCCAGCATGTCTGTGATGCGGTCCACGAGAGCCGCCGCAGGTTCCTGGCGCCCAGCCGTGAGGCGTTCATCTCGGGGTCTTGTCCACCCAAAGAATATGACTGCCACTCTGCGCTGTCACAGACCCCCGCTGCTCGCCGAATCGAGCTGCCACCCTTGCCAGCCATCCCCTTCCGACCGGCAACGGCGGACTGAAAAAAAGAGAGAGGTTCTCAAGAGGGCGATGCCCGCGAGAGGCCCAGACGAATGATGCTGATTCTGATGATGCTGCTGATCATGATGACGATGATGATACTGATGATGATGATGATGATGATGATGATGATGATGAGGAGGAGGAGGAGGAGGAGGAGGAGGAGGAGGAGGAGGAGGAGGAGGAGGAGGAGAGGGGGGAGGACAAGCTAGGTGCGCTCGCGTCATATCTGACATCCTACCCCTCCCTCCCATCCCTTACCATGGCGTAGATCCCCTCTCTACTCGCACAGTCGGATGTCGAGCAGGGCAATGATCCCGAAAGGGTCCGCGATGCATTGTAGAGCACGGCATGGCATGGCGTAGAAGAGCACCGCAAAGCGTAGTTTCAACCTAGCATTGCATTGCATGCCGTGGCATGGCACGGGAAATGACGCCAGCACTGCAGCGGGAGCACGAGTCGGAACGAGCGGAAGCGCGAAAACGAGGCCAGTGCTGCAGCGGGAGCACGATTCGGAACCAGCGGGGCCCGACAATGAGGCCAGCGCCCCAGCGAGAGCAGCAGTTTGGAACAATTGCAGGCGAAAACCCAACTCCGGGGAATCGTTTGTGTAAAAAGTATCCCGGCAAAGCAACCTAACAGCGATGTGTAGGAGCATACCTGGAAGCATTCCCCTTACGATTCAGATGAGAATCCAGTTGTAGAATTCTGCTGTTCTCGAAGTCGTAGTCGCATTCGCGATGACAGTCGCAGTGGCAACGGCAGTCGCAGACACAGCCTGCATCAGCCTCAGCCTGCCTCAGCCTCAGCCTCAGCCTGCCTCAGCCTCAGCCTGCCTCAGCCTCAGCCTCGGCCTGCTTCAGCCTCAGCATCAGTCTGCCTTCAGCCTCGGCCTCAGCCTCAGCCTGCCTCAGCCTCAGCCTGCCTCAGCCTCAGCCTCAGCCTGCCTCAGCCTCAGCCTGCCTCAGCCTCAGCCTCAGCCTGCCTTCAGCCTCAGCCTCAGTCTGCCTTCAGCCTCGGCCTCAGCCTCAGCCTGCCTCAGCCTCAGCCTGCATCAGCCTCAGCCTCAGCCTCAGCCTGCCTCAGCATCAGCCTGCCTCAGCCTCAGCCTCAGCCTGCCTCAGCCTCAGCCTCAGCCTGCCTTCAGCCTCGGCCTCAGCCTCAGCCTGCCTCAGCCTCAGCCTGCATCAGCCTCAGCCTCAGCCTCAGCCTCAGCCTGCCTCAGCCTCAGCCTGCCTCAGCCTCAGCCTCAGCCTGCCTCAGCCTCAGCCTCAGCCTGCTTCAGCCTCAGCCTCAGTCTGCCTTCAGCCTCGGCCTCAGCCTCAGCCTGCCTCAGCCTCAGCCTGCATCAGCCTCAGCCTCAGCCTCAGCCTGCCTCAGCATCAGCCTGCCTCAGCCTCAGCCTCAGCCTGCCTCAGCCTCAGCCTCAGTCTGCTTCAGCCTCAGCCTCAGTCTGCCTTCAGCCTCGGCCTCAGCCTCAGCCTGCCTCAGCCTCAGCCTGCATCAGCCTCAGCCTCAGCCTCAGCCTGCCTCAGCATCAGCCTGCCTCAGCCTCAGCCTCAGCCTGCCTCAGCCTCAGCCTCAGCCTGCTTCAGCCTCAGCCTCAGTCTGCCTGCAGCCTCGGCTTCAGCCTCAGCCTCCTGCCTCAGCCTCAGCCTCAGCCTCAGCCTGCCTCAGCCTCAGCCTGCCTCAGCCTCAGCCTCAGCCTGCCTCAGCCTCAGCCTCAGCCTGCTTCAGCCTCAGCCTCAGTCTGCCTTCAGCCTCGGCCTCAGCCTCAGCCTGCCTCAGCCTCAGCCTGCATCAGCCTCAGCCTCAGCCTCAGCCTGCCTCAGCCTCAGCCTGCCTCAGCCTCAGCCTCAGCCTGCCTGCCTCAGCCTCAGCCTCTCAGCAGCCTCGGTCTCAGCCTCAGGCTCCTCAGCCTCAGCCTCAGCCTGCCTCAGCATCAGCCTGCCTCAGCCTCAGCCTCAGCCTGCCTCAGCCTCAGCCTCAGCCTGCTTCAGCCTCAGCCTCAGTCTGCCTTCAGCCTCGGCCTCAGCCTCAGCCTGCCTCAGCCTCAGCCTGCTTCAGCCTCAGCCTCAGCCTCAGCCTGCCTCAGCATCAGCCTGCCTCAGCCTCAGCCTCAGCCTGCCCCAGCCTCAGCCTCAGCCTCAGCCTCAGTCTGCCTTCAGCCTCGGCCTCAGCCTCAGCCTGCCTCAGCCTCAGCCTGCCTCAGCCTCAGCATCAGCCTGCCTCAGCATTCAAAATGCGGCCGGGGAATGGAGTTCTGGGAACTCGAAGAACACGAAGTGGCCTACAGTTTGCTCTGGGCATTCTAAATCATGCCCAGGAATGGAGTTCTGGGAACTCGAAGAGCACGAAGTGGCCTACAGTTGGCTCCGGGCATTCACAATGTGGCCCGGGAATGGAGTTCTGTGAACTCGAAAAACCCCCAGTGGCCTACAGTTGGCTCCGGGCATTCAAAATGTTGCCCGGGAATGGAGTTTTGGGAACTCGAAGAACACGAAGTGGCCTACAGTTGGCTCCGGGCATTCAGAATGTGGCCCGGGAATGGAGTTCTGGGACCTCGAAGACCACGATGTGTGTAACTGTTTGCCTAAAACGACTTCCGCGGATTCTCCCCGGCACCCGTCCGGCATTTGCCCAGACCCCCCTGAGGAGTCAAGATGTTTTCTTTTGAGACCATTAGAAACCTATCAGTCTTCGCTGTTAGGTAACAGTACGCGGGGGGGGGGCTAACACTTTCAAGCCGTCATCAGGGGAAGAGGGAGAGTAGTATTCATATTGAGTAATTGTGGAGGAGGAGGAGGAGGGAGGAGGAGGAGGGGGAGGAGGAGGAGGAGGAGGAGAACATGGAGGCTTACGCTTCGGGCGTGTGTGCTCTTCAGCCTGCGCAGGAAAATAATAATGATGATGATGATGCTGATGCTGATGCTGATGCTGCTGATGATGATGATGATGATGACGATGATGATGATGATGATGATGGTGATGGTGATGGTGATGTTGGTGATGATGATGATGATGATGATGATGATGATGCGGATGATGCTGATGGTGATGACGATGACGATGACGGTGACGATGATCATGATGGTGGTGATGATGATGATGATGAGGATGAGGATGATGATGATGATGATGATGATGGCGATGGCGATGGCGATGGTGATTATGATGATGAGGATGATGAGGATGATGATGCTGCTGATGCCGATGCCGATGTCGATGCTGATGCTGATGCTGATGCTGATGCTGATGCTGATGCTATGATGATGACGATGATGATGACGATGATGATGATGAGGATGATGATGATGATGATGATGATGATGATGATGATGATGATGATGATGCTGATGATGATGATGATGATGATTCTGATGATGCTGCTGCTGCTGATGATGATGATGCTGATGCGGGTGCTGATTATGCTTATGATACTGCTGCTGATGCTGCTGCTGCTGCTGATGATGATGATGATGATGATGATGATGATACTGATTATGATGATGATGAGGTGGAGGAGGAGGAGGGTGAGGCGAAGGTGGCGGAGAAGAGCCAGGAGGATCTGCTTGAGGAGGCAGAGGGGGATGAGGACGAAATATTTAAGATAGCGAGAGGGAGTTCGAGGAGGAGGAGGAGGAGGAGGAAGACGAGGAGGAGGAGGCGTAGGAGGTGCGGACGTAGGGCTGGCGGGGAGAACAGGGCGGAGGAGCTGAAGGGAGCAGAGTGTCGGCGAGACTCGACCCGCTGCTGCAGCTGCGCAGCCGCCGCGCAAAGGCCGAACTTTTATTTGCCTGGGATGCTTCGGGCGTTGCCGCAGGCAAGTTCGACAAGAGCTTCGGCGGCAAGGGCAAAGGCAAGGGCAAAGGCAAGGGCTGGGGCCCGGGCGTCGGCTTCGTGCCCGGCGGCTGTCTCGGCTTCGCGCCCGCGGGCGGCGGCGGCGGCTGCAGCGGCGGCACCTCCAACTCCTTCAGCAAGGCGTCCGGAGGCCAGCGGCTTTTTGCGCCCGAATGGGGAGGACGATAGCGAGGATGCTGCGACGGGGCTAGGACGAGGATCAACCCGTTCCAGAGCTAAACTTTTGTGCTCCGCTCGGATTTCTTAGAGATCTGCGCTGGGCCCCCCCCCCCGGCGGCGCTTCCGGCGCCGCCCCTGTTCAATAAATCCGCGCAGAGCGCCGAAAGTTTCTGCTTATGCATTTGTTTCTTCTGCTAGGGAACGCTTGTCCCAGGGCGCCTGGAAAGTTTACACCTTGACGCCGCCCTGGGACAGACGTCCCAGACGGCGGAGCAGTTTACGAAATGCCGTTATTCGCCCGCCGAGTGTTGTTTCGAGACGTTGGTGGCTTGGCACGTATCCGATTTCGCGTCGTGGCGCCCACCCGGAGGAGGAGGAGGAGGAGGAGGAGGAGGAGGAGGAGGAGGAGGAGGAGGAGGAGGAGGAGGAGGGCCCGCCGGTTCGTCGCGGGGCCCCTCGTCGCAGCGGGTCGTGTGAGGCTCGGTGAGCTGGTCTCGGACGGCCTCCCGGACCTGGTGTGGGCGGTCCAGTGTCGATCTCCGTCTGGCAGGGGGGAGTCGGCCCTAGACTCAAGTCGGGCGTGTCCCTCTACAGGAGGAGTATTCAGGAATAGCACACAAAAAAGTTGGGGGACGATCTGTTGACTATTTTTGATGATTTGCTGATTATTTTTGTTGGTATGTTTGGTTTTTCGTCCACGATCCGCCTGTAGGAGGCCCGACCTAAGCCTAGACTCAGGGGCCCCCAAACGGTGTGGTGACCATACCGCGTGGTGAGTCAGTGGGGATTCGGGATCACCGCGCGGCTCTGGGACTCGGGTCGTTCTCCAAGGACGCCTCGGGCGGCTGAGACACCCGAGGTCCCAAGACCGTGCGGTGACGGACCGCGCGCGAGGACGCCTGGGATTCCGATGGGGCCCGGAGCAGACACGGCGGCGGCGGCGATGGCGGCGGCGGCGACCACCACGAGCCCCCCGCAGGCGCGCCCCGGATAGACGGCGCGCCGGCTCCGCTGCTGGTGCCGCCGCCCGGGGGCGCGCCGCACCCAGGCGTCGCGGCCGCGGCACGGGCTCTTCTCCCTCCGTTGGTGCCTCCCCGGCGGGCCCCAGCGTCGTGGAGCCACGCATGCGGGTTGCAGGCGCCGTCGTGTAGCCGACTCGGTGTTCGTGTGTCCTCACAGCGTCAGCCGTGGCCCACTTGAGCGGCGGAAGCAAAAAACAAGGGATCGTCTGCGCCGACACTAGCGCGGAAGTTGCCCGCGTGAGGTCTTGCGTGAGCGCCCTCGTTTTTAAAGTGGCGTTCCGCGTCGGCGGCCCGCGTAAGCCACCGCGTGGGGTCGCGGTGCCGTCTCGCGTAAGACCTGTTTTTGATCGTCCGTCAGTCGTTCTCTTTCACTGCGGTCGTGGAGCAGGCGGAGGGCTGAGCAGGCGCGGCGCAGCGCCGACTCCCGTGGCAAGCGCCGGCCCCATCCGTGACCACCCCCGTCGCCCCGCTCCACAGACTCGATGATCCCGAGGACGTGTGTTACAGTCGGAACGAGGTATAAGGTCGAGGTCGGTTCGGGGAGGGTCCCCTCGTGTTCTTCGTATTTGTTACCTGTTCTGCTGCACCCTGGGGAGGGTACCCTGGGATGCTAGCCTTCTGATGTTTCAACCTGCTGTAGCCTTGATCACCAGGAAGAACTTCGAGCACCAGGAAAGTGCCGAAGCTGAAGGGATTTCTCGCGTCGGGCCCCGGGAGGCGATACTCGTTCGACACTTGGCCGAGGTGTTGAGCAGGCACTGTTTCGATATTTCTCTGGGGGCTCGAAGTTCTGTCTGGGAGGTGGTCCCCACGCAGGACCTGGCGCAGTGCTAGCCCGCGCGTGTGTTTACCCCGCTCGGCTCCGCCGGCAGCGCGCCGCCTGCGTCGGCCCCCGTGGCGCCGCTTGCGTCGTGTCCTGACTGGCCTCGGTGGACAAGGGGCACGTTGTGTTCAGTCGGGCATGTCCCTCTGTCCCTCTACAGGAGGAATTGTCGTGACGATGTTTCGTGCTCTCGTGACTCTTAATTGATTTCATGGGGGGATTATTTGTTACTCCGAGTTTATTGATAAGCGTCGGGGGGCGTGCCACCGCGAGCCGAAGGCGCTCCGACCCCCGTCGCGGCACGACGACGAGGCGAGGTTGACCCCTGACGGGCGGGTACCCCCCCACGCTGATCCAGAATCCAGGGTAGTGCTTCTCCAACGTCCGCCCGTAGGGAGGCGTGCCCGACCTGAACGTTGTGTGGCGCCGGCGCATGCGTTCTGAGGATCATCGGTAGACGTGCGGCCGGCGGCCGGAGGGGGGCCTCGAGGGCGGAGTCCGGCGGCGAGCCCAGGGGGGAAGCGAGGAGGGGAGTGCCTTCATTCGAAGAAGGTCAGACGATCGCAAACACTGATCAAGGGGGCGTGGATTAGCGAGGGGTCCCGTTTCCATGGGAAATCGCGGATTTCCGCCGCCGAGCGAGGCGGCGCCGGCCGCATTTTGGGGAGGGCACCTGCCCCGATCCATGGATTTGGGGACCGCGCGCCAGATCCATGGATCGCTAATCCATGTTTGCGCGCCCCTGAGAGTGGCCCCCATGACCCGTCCCCACCGCTTACCGCGCGCTGGCGCTCCTCCCGAGCTGTTTCTTGTGGCGGCCCGCTCAGGGTCGAAGCACTGCCCCATGACATGAGTCCGTAGACGACGGGCAGCAGATCCGTCCTGCTTGTGTTCTAGCGGGCGAAGAGCTTGGCGGCGCGCAGAGGGGTGGTAGGGGGAGGGGGAAGGCGTCCTAGAAGGAGGCTGCTTCTTAGAAGCCTTCCCCCGCTCCCCCTACCCCCTCTTCGCGCCGCCAAAGAAGGTATCACATATACTTTTTCGCCGTCGGGAATCGAAGACAAAAAACACCATAAACATAAACTTTTGCGCTCCGCGCGGATTTCTTGGATCTGCGCTGGGCCCCCTGACGGCACTTCGGCGCCGCCCCTGGCACGCTCCGCGCGCCAGAGAGAGGGGCCCAGCGCGGCTCTGAGAAGTCCGCGCGGAGCGCCGACAGTCTATGCTTGTGCCGTTGTTTGTTCCCCTACAGGGGGGAAGTGAGAAGGAGAAGGCATTCTCAGAAGGCTCAGAAGTCCTGGCCTTCTGTCACTAGACGTAAGAGTGGCCCTTCGCCGGATTGACCTTTGGTGCGGACCCACCGGGGTCCCCGATCACCGAACACGTTGCGATAGTGGCATCTTGTGTGTTTAGCCAACCCCGCGCCCCCCCAAAAACCGCGCACCGATATAGTCGCACCGAGGTATAAGATCGAGCTCGACTCAGGGAGGGTACCCTGATGTTTTTCGTGCTTCTTGGAAGCTCTTGTGCATCCTGGGGAGGGTACCCTTGGATGTTCAGTGTGTTTGGGCCGACGGCGGGTCTCATGTTCTTGAAGGATGTGCTTCTGGCCAAGGTCCCAGTGTACTCACGGGCTCAGGTCGGCCATCTGCGGTCTCACTCTGGACAGATCCGTCGCTCCAGCTCCTTCTGCGCCCCTGCCCCCTCTGCCAGCCGCTTGCTGCGGCATCCTTGTCGAGCGGGCCCTTCGGCGCTGGCCTGGTCTTCCTCCGCAGGGACATCGAAAACCAGAAGAGGCCTTGGCATTTGGTAGGTTCGTGTCGTGTCGACGCTGCGGCGGCCCCGCCGCGGGCGTTCAAGGTTGAACACCGCCAGCGGCCCAGAATCGGACAGTACGGAACGATCTGGCGATTGAAAAATTGCCGATCGCCCAAGTTTGTACTATCCACGCGCTGTCAGGAACCAGCGCCAGGGTCGTCATGACGCGAATCCGCCGTAATCTTTCGGAGGTCCGCGCGGATTCCTGGTGTGGGCGCTGGGCCCCCCTCCGTGGGCGCCGCTGGAGAGCGCCAGGGGCGACGCCGGAGGCGCCACCCGGGGGGGTCCAGCGCCGACCCGAGGAGTCCGCGCGGGCATTCGACAGTTTCGGCTGATTCAGCTTTCTGGTTCCTCCAGGAGATCGGAGGGCAGCAGCCATACACCTACACCGATCCTGGCCAGGCGGACCCTGGGCCCAGGATCGGTGCATAGGCCTTCCTGCCCAAGCCAGGAGGTCGTACACCACGATTCTGGGCCCAGGATGGGCCTGGCCAAGAGCGGCATGGGTGCCTAGTTGGTGCCCTCCTGGGAGAGGCCGAGGGAGCGGGTCCGGCGTGCGAGAGGCAGAGCGGGGAGAGCAGCCTGCTTGGCCTCTCCCGACTCGGCACCCGCCCGAGCCCCCCCCCCCCCCCTCCGCAGGGGGGAGGCGGAGGCCGGAGGGCGGCCACGGCGCAGGCCGCACCTCGCACTGCTTCCGGCCACGCAGATCCTGGGCTTCAGTCGGGCGTGTCCCTCTGCAGGAGGAGTAGTCAAAAATGGTTCCGAAATAGTCGGGGGAGGAGTTTCCGACTATTTTTGACCAGTTTGAGTATTTTTCGATTATTTGTGAGTTTTCGTTTAAAATCCGCCTGTAGGAGGACATGCCCGACCTAATCCTGGGCCTGGCCAGTGTCCCTGCAGGCGTGCAGTTGGCGCCCTCCTGATGCGCAGAAGGCATCTACGAGCCTCCTCATCCGCCTCCGCCTCCTCATCCGCCTCCTCCTCCTCCTCCTCCTCCTCCTCCTCCTCCGTTCCTGCCTACTCCTTCCGACCGACGGGGAAAGGCCATCGAGGTGGCCAGCGAGCGCCCCGCCTTGAAAAGGCGCCTCCGCACACCCGTTCGTGTCGGACGGCAGCGCAGGCTTGCGCTTCTGGCCGTAACTGTCCAGGAAGTGGAGGCCGTCCTGGGCGCACGGTGTGGACGACTTCCAGCCGAGGCCGGGCGGGTCTGCACTCTGTGCACCCATCCTGGGGCCTGTAGGATGCGCCCCGCCAGGCACGGCGGTGCGGATGCCCTCCTGCGTGCCCGAGAGGCGGGTCCCGTCGGGCGTGCGGGTGGCGGAGGGCGAGAGGGCGGGCGTCTGGGCGGAGGATCGAGGCGGGGGAGGGGGGGGTAACGGCGCGCAACGGGGCAGGGGAGGGCAGCAGAGAGGTGCGCTGGCGCGGGGTTCGGGGTCCAACCGCGTCCTGCGAGCTCTGGCCCAGGCCGGTTCTGTCGGCGCGCGCTTTCTAGTTGCGGCGGTCCGTGTTCGGGGTCGGGTCTCGGAGTTCCGGGCTGGGGCCGCCTCGTGCTGTCCCTGCCTACTTCTCGCTCCTCGCCCCACCCCTCTGGCGCCCTGCTCCCTTTTCTCCCTCCCTCCTCCCTCCTCTCTCGCTCCTCCCTCTCTCTCTCTCTTTCTCTCCTCTCTCCCTCCCTCAAACCGCGTTTCCTCGAGGGCCAGAGTAGCCCACGAAGCGCTCGATGTCACTCTGGCGGCGTCCGCGCCCCCCTGCTTCATTCCTTTCCCTCCCTTCCCTCCCTGCTTCCCTCCCTCCCTCCCCCCCATTCCGTTCGCTGGCCGTCCCCAGCAGGCGCGCCCCCCACGAGCGGCCCCTTCAACCAGATGGGCATCGCGGGCGTGGCCCCCGCGAAGCGGCGGGCGCCGCAGGCGCCTCCCGCTGCTGCGGCGAAGCGTCCTTACTCAGGAGGAAAAGAAACACACAGACACAATTAATCGTCGATCCCCCAGAAAATATAGGAAAATATGGGAATTGGGTGGGAAGACAAAAACCCAGAAAATATGGGAAAATATGGGGAATCATTTTATTTGTGTGTACTTATTTGTGTGTCCCAGGGCCCCTTCACTTACCTGCCTACAGTGGAGACCCATGCCAAGAAGCACCCAGCTTGCCTCAAGGGTGCCATGGGTTTCTTGGGCTTCGATGGTTCTGCTAAGGAAAGCGTGACGTTCCCACACCAAAAATCAGTGGGCGCCCTGGGGTCTCAGGGTTGGGTCTGTGGAAGGTTTCTTGTGGTCGGGCCCCTACTGTATGGCAGGCTCGCGTCGTGTCGGCCGGCGGCGACCCCAGCGCGGGCGTGCAAGGTTGAACGCCGCCAGTGGCTCAGAATCGCCCCCTATGGAAAGGGCTGACGATCGAGAAGCCGCCGACCGTTCAAGGTTGAACAATCGACGCGGTGTCGTAAACCAACGCCGGGGCCAACACAACACGAACCTTCAGTATAGGCCCTCCGAAAAATATTCTAAGACGATGCCATGGCTTGCACGCAATGCTCTTCGAACATTCCTGGCTTAGGCAGGCCTGTTTTAATGCGTCGCTTTCATGCTCGAAGAACGAGTTCTTGATGTTATTGGACCGTTTTCCCGAGAAGTCTCCCTGGTGGGCCTGCAGAAATGCCGGGACGGGGGGTCCCTGCTCAAATGCGGAGGAGGAGGATTAGGAGGAGGAGGAGGAGGAGGAGGAGGAGGAAGGACTCTGATATCTTAGCGTTGTGAGAAAGTATATGCGCAAGGTATTTCGGCCACTTTCGGCCTGCGGGGAGGCCTTTTTCTGGGCTAGGGGGCCGCCATGAGCGACTCCAGGATGAAGAGCTGGTCCCCAGGAAGAGGCCCAGACCTCTGAGGGGAGCCACGCTGTGAAAGCAACATGCCATCGGACGGATGGGGAGGAGCGCGGAGGATCGGGTCGGACGAGTGGGTGGGGTAGGGAGAGGGGTGGGGTACAGCAGTTTCTGCATGCAGCCGATTTCGGCCCCGCCGTTGGGCGCTTTCCTTGATAAAGCGGCGCCAGAAGCAGGGGCTACGTGAGGTGATCTGCTATCCCCCTCCGGCACTGACTCCCTCCTCACTAACCACACCATGTCGTTCACCGCGAGGAGACCTTCTCGGGATTTTTCCTCCCCTGTCGGCGACTGCCCCCGTCCTTCTTTCGGTGATCAAGCAATGACAGAACCATGAAAATTCGGAGGTCCGCGCAACTGCCTCGGGTCTGCGCTCGACCCCCCTCTCTGGCGCGCGGAGCGCGCTAGGGTCGGCGCCGGAGGCGCCGCCAGGGGTGTCCAGCGCCGACCCGAGGAATTTCCGTGGACCTCAGAGTTTGTATGCTTATGTCATTTCATTGTTCCCCTGTGATTCTTGCTCCCGCGGCCAGGTCGGTCGGTATCGGTGTCGCGGTTTGTCTCTTCGCTGTCGCGGTGTTCCTCCTCTTTGCTCGCTATCTGCCCTCTGCCTGGTCATGGTCTGCTCCGGGTCCGTCCGCAGGATCCGTGAGATCCGGTGTCGCGCGGAATCTGCGAGATCGCGAAGAAGAGCGGCTGGAGCTTAGTGGGCCCTGGAAACGACAGGGCCGCCCTGTTGTTTCCAGGGCCACTGAGGGCTGGAGCCCTAAACCACACCTTTCCGCTGCTTTTTTCGAGCCGGGCAGATCCGTGTTGGCCCCTGTGCCCGAAGCTGAGCGAAAAGTCGGTTGGCCGTGGCAAATTGCGGTGCCAAGATCTCAGGGGTGGAGTGCGGGCAATCTCCTTTCATGGGAACGCGAAACTCGGATTATCCGTAAGGGCTTCGCCCCTTGCCGCCGGCCCCCTCTCTCGGAGAATGGGCCATGGAAGAGCGAAGTCATGAGGCTTTGGCTTTGCCGTGAAGCAGTGTCGGGACGTATTTGTTTTTCGACCCTGACCCTGCCGATCTGCGAGAGGGGTGCCGCTGAATTTCAGACATGTGGCAAATCCCTTCTGTTTTTGGACCCTGTCCCCGCCGATCTGCGAGAGGGGTGCCACCGAATTTCAGAAATGTGGCACATCCTTTTTGTTTTTGGACCCTGACCCCGCCGATCTGCGAGAGGGGTGCCACCGAATTTCAGAAATGTGGCACATCCTTTTTGTTTTTGGACCCTGTCCCCGCCGACCTGCGTGAGGGGTGCCATCGAATTCTAGACATGCTGCGAATCCTTCTTGTTCTTGGACCCTGTCCCCGCCGATCTGCGTGAGGGGTGCCACCGAATTTCAGAAATGTGGCAAATCCTTTTTGTTCTTGGACCCTGTCCCCGCCGATCTGCGTGAGGGGTGCCACCGAATTTCAGAAATGTGGCAAATCCTTTTTGTTTTTGGACCCTGTCCCTGCCGATCTGCGTGAGGGGTGCCCCCGAATTTCAGAAATGTTGCAAATCCCTTGTGTTTTTGGACCCTGACCCCGCCGATCTGCGTGAGGGGTGTCAAGTTTTACCCTCCCAGGAATTCTGAGAACCCTCCCGGGGGACGCTAACCAGGGTGGTTTTCGGCTCCCCCCCCTCGCGCGGACAGCAACAATTTACAGTAGGAGGCAGAAAGCAGTACTGTAACAATGGAAACTGGAACTGGTGCAGGGAGCAGCAAGCTTAAGCCTCGCAGCCTGATGGTCCCGAAAGGGGGCCGGCGGATTTAGCTGGGACTCGAGTTTCACCGCAGTCGAGTGGCGATGCCACGCGATTGGATGCGGCAAGCCGTAATCGGGGCGCCCCTGGATTTTTGAAGGACTTCTCCCGTCTTGCTCGAGTTCTTTTCACCCGCGCCTTTCTTCTGCCCGACTCACCGGGTTCCACTCCTTGCTCTTTCTCGCCCCTCTCCGGCGGGCTCTTGATGCCCGCGTGCGGGATCGCTGGCGGCCTGAGTCCCCTCCCTCCTTCAGCCTGCTCTGGCCGAGGAGACATAGTTCACGGATGTCTGTGACCGCTTCGCGTACCCTCACGAGCCCATCCGGGAATTAGAACCCAGGGGAGCCCCCTTCTCGGGAGAGCGTGGCATCATTGGGATAATCACCTCGGTGAGTCTCATCGAGCTAGAGGTCTCTTGGGTGCCTCTCGTAGTCGCTCGAAATGTCTCCTTGGGGGCTCTTCGCGGCCTCTTAGGGCGTCCTTTGGGACCTTTTGGGGGCTCCTGGGGGCCTCTTGGGGCGTTTTGGGGGTCTGTTGGGTTGTTTGGGCATCTTAGGGGCTTCTTGGGGCCTTCTCGGGACCATATTTCAGGACATTGCTGCAAGAGTCCCCAAGTTCGCCTCTCCAAAATAGCTGTGCTGGAAAAATGCTCCAATAATCCCAGAAGTCCCTTCTTGAGGCGCTCCTGGGACCATCACGGGGCCCTCTTGGGCCCCCGGTCTTTGGGACTTCGAGACTTATGCTTCTCTCTTTCCTGCTCCGCACCGCCGCTTTCTCATAGGTAAACTGCTGGGCCTCAGCGACAAGAAGCGTCAGCAGAGCTTGGCATCGCTCGGACGTGAGCATTTTATCCTTGGCGAGGACCATCGATGATACGCACGCGAAACCGAAACATGCATGGGTGGGGAATGGACGTCCGAGCGATGGCCAGTAAGGCGTCAGCAGAGGCTGCCGCCAGAGCAGCAGCAGCTACGAGCAAGAAGAGGGTGCCTTGCACAAGACAGCAAGAGCCCTCGGCGGCATCACGACGGTCGCCACCAGCAGATCTTTCACAAGGGAAGGCGGATGCAAGACGAGAGGCCACACGATCAAGCTCCGTCCCGCCTCCTCCCCCTCCCCCTCTCCCTCCCCCTCCCCCTCTCTGTCCTCCTCCACCTCCTCCTCCCCCTCCGCCTCCTCCTCATCCTCCTTGTCATCCTCCTCCGCCTCCTCCTCCGTAGCGATTTTGGTTCAAGATACTTTGTTCCACAGGGGCACACGTGGATACCGCTAGTCCGCGGCAGGCAAGGTTATTCAGCATGGCATCGTTTTCTCTGGGAGTCCCGCACCCTCCGTCTACCAGCGCAGGCGGGCTTCGAGCTCCTACTCGCTCATCCCAGAGATGGCGCCGCTCTCATACTCGTGGTCTCGCTGCGGGGGCTGCAACAACGGGGGCTCAACAATGAGGGCTTCTGCGTCAAGCGCGGCTCGGATATCACCATTTGGGCTGATTCGAGGCGCAGCAAGTCAGTGGACGAGAACCCGTCTTGGGGTAACATGTCCAACGGCACGTGCGCAGAGGTGGTGTGCAGTCGCGCTCGCCAAGTTCGGGCCCGATCTGGCCATGGAGGCGCAGCCGGGAGAGATGCAAAACACCATCACCCATAACAAAATAAAATACGAATATCAAGGCGTTACCCAAGGCGGCAATACTCAAGCAGGCCATTGGGAATATCAGCGCGGCGAAGAACAAGTAGGAGAGTCTCGCTAGGAAGCCTGCAGACGCGGAGAAGGTGGCGCAGAAGTTGCACGACCAGTTGGAGCAGGCGGATTTGGTGGTTCAACGAATCACAGGAGAAGCATGCGCGAGACCTGGAGGAGTACGATTCCCTTGTGGAGTTGGAAGGTACGGCGGGCAAGGACATCGACGACCTGGAGCAGGAGTAGGAGGACCAGCTCAAGCAGTTCAGAGCGGATGTCGTGCACCTGCAGCGGGCCAAGGCCGAGGCCAATGAGGACGAAATGTTGGCCATGGTTGTCGAGCAGGCAACGCGTCTTATGGTGGAACATGCGCAGAAGAAGAGGAAGGTCGACAACGCTGAAAGGCCACTTGCGCAAGCGCCTCCTCCTGCTCCCGCAGAGACGTGCAACATCACATCATAGCCTAACCTGTCGAAGCAGATGGACAAAGTCGAGAACATTAACGAGCCCCTATCAGACAGCAAGGCCAACGCAAGAGCGGCTATGGCGGCAGCGAGGAAGA